TGTTCCAAGGTTGAGTATGCATCACTATTTATCTCTGTCCCACTAGGCCTTTGCAAACCTGTCTCAGTGTTCCCTTATCTATCTTGTTCTTCTACCTCCCCCCCACCAAATAAGCTTTTGATTTTTATATTGTTTACATCCTCTTGCATCAATAAAAATTCCTTTTTTAATAACTAAAAAAAAAAAAAAAGTCAATAAATGTGGACAACCACTGTGGCTGTTAGGTGCTGTTGACCTGATTTTGACCCTATGATGGATCAGCCAGGTGACATCATTGATGGCGTCAAGTGTGGCAGCGGCAGTGAGGTTGGTCCAGGATCAGACAATTGTTTCGTTCTGCTGTGCATGGGGTTGCTATGAGTCGGTTCCGACTCAATGGCACCTGACAACAACAACAACAACAAGAATAGAATGAAGCACTATCCAGTCCTGGACCTTCCTCACATTATTGGTATACTTGAAGCCATTGTGACAGCCACCGTGTCAAACCATCTGGTGGAGGGTCTTCCTATTTTATAGAACCTCTGCCATATCACACATGATGTGATTCTCCAAGAATTGGGTCCTGGTGATATCATGTCCAAAGTATGTGAAACAGGATCTCACCACCCTGACTTCTAAGGAATAATCTGGCTGTGTGTGCTAGACATATTTGTCTGTTCTTCTTGCGGTGTATGGCATATTTGGTATTCTTGGCCAACACTGTAATTTAAAGGCATGAAGTCTGGCTTTCCTTGTTTATTGCACAATTTTCAAATGCATATGAGGTGATTGAGCATACCGTGGCTTGGATCAGGCACACCTTCGTCCTTAAAGTGACACTATTGTTCTTTAACACTTTAAAGAGATCTTTTGGAGCTGATTGCTTAGTGCAATACATACATTGTTGTTGTTGTTGTTAAGTGCTATTGAGTCGACTCCAAACTATAGTCATCCTATATAGGTTCTTCCTAGAAGCAGCTGATGAGCTTGAGCCACTGACTTTGCAGTTCACATGGTTTTGCAGTCTGGCGCATTAACCCATAGCACCACACCAGAACTCCAATACTCCCATTAGAAGATAGAAAAGTTGAGGAAATAAATGACAGAAGAGACTCTAAAACTTGCTCTCCAGCACAGAGATGCTTAAGCAATGAAAGAAATGAAGAAGTCAAAGAATTGAACCGAAAATTTCAATGGATAGCTCACGAAGATAAATTGAAGGATTATAGTGAAATGCACAAAGACCTGGACTTAGAAAACCAAGAGGAAAGAACATGCTCAGCATTTCTCAAGGTGAAAGAACTGAATAAAATTCAAGCCTCCAGTTACAATATTGAAAGAATCTATAGGGAAAATATTGAATGAAGCAAGTGTTAGGTGCCATTGCGTCAGTTCTGACCCATAGCCACCCTGTATGGGGTTTCCAAGGAGCAGTTGGTGAGCTTGAACTGCCAACCTTGCTGTTCAAAAACGACTTTGTATTAACCCACAACGCCTCAATATTACAAGTTGATCTTTGAATTTTTTCTTCAATTCTTTTAGCTTTAGAATTCATGAATGTGTTCTTACCTTTTTGTTTTTTAATCCAGTTTTTTGCACATTTCATTGTAATACTGACCTTGGCCTTTCAAGCAGTCTTTGTACACACTAGTAAACATTAAAAATGATGTGGCTCGCTTTTGTGTGATATTTGCTTTATTGCAGTACTCTGGATGCAAATATGCAATATTTCTGAATTTTTCCTGTGTTTCCAAATCTCAAGTTCTCAACTAGCAGAATTGTAACCACCCCTGAGTCCTTGATCCCAGCCCACAGCTGTATTCTCTGCTATCACCTGTGTTTTGTGATTCTTCCTCTTTGATTGCTCATTTACATTTTTTTTTTTACCATTTAAAACAAACAATGAGATGTGGAAGTGGAGATAATCTTTAAATTCTCCTTTCTGCTTCATTTAACTCAAGTATAACAAAATATTAGAGAAACAATCTCTGGATTTCAGAGAGAAATGATAAGAAC